ATTCTTCCATTGCTGTGACAAAACACCGTGACCTCAGCTACTTATGAAATAAAATGTTTAATTGGACTTCCAGAGAGTTAGCCTGTGATGGAGGAGTGAAGGCAGAGAGACAGGTGGCTGAAGCATCAGCCGAGAGCTCACATCTTGACCCACAAGCAGGAGGCAGAGAGGGGAACACTGGAAATGGCATACCTCAGACCTCACCCCCAGAGACACACCTCCTTCAGCAAGGCCACACCTCCCAATCCTTCCCAAACAGTTCCAGCAGCTGGGGACTAGTTATGCAGATATATGAGTCTATGGGGGTCATTTTCTTTCAAACCACCACATGGACTGAGCAAAGTATGTAACCGCTCTGGCACTCAGGGTCTTGGTCTTACGTGCAGATAAAGATGGAATTTAATAATGTCTTAGGTAACTTCCACATTTAAGGTAAGGTCAGTTGTAAGGCTTCTTGAAAGGAGTACACTTTCAGAAGGTGGAAAAGAGATGCTCAAGTTACACTGCTGCGAAAGAGATCCCTTGTTTCAACATTGTCTCCGGGAAAAGGACCCTGGAATAAGAGGAGGGAGAGAATAGAGACAAGGGCCTGGAACCTGCATTGTGAATAAGTACTGTTGGAGCCCCCGAGGGTGACTGAGGCAAGGTCTTCAGCTCCAGCTATAGAAAACCATATGTCAAAGCGGGGCAGTGGTGGTGCACACCTTTAATCCCAGCACTCACGAGGCAGAGGCAAGTGAATTTTTGTGAGTTCGAGGCCAGCCTGGTTTACAAAGGGAGTTCCAGGACAGCTGAGCTGAGAGCTGTTACAAAGAGAAACCCTGCCCCCCCCAAACAAAAACAAAACAAACAAAAAAGAAAGAAAAAGAAAAGAAAAGCATACATGAGAGCGGAAGTTTCTAGAGAACTAAAGGAGGCGGGCTGGGAGAAAGAGGTCAGGTGTTCTCCTCTACAGCTAGCTCTCTCCTTTCAGCTTTACTCCCCTCAGGATGCAAATTGGACTTAGTTTAACTAAGCTCGGAAGTTGGAATTTCTTGCCCTAATATGAAGATGCCATCCCAACAAGGTCCTTCCTTTAGATTTCCTTAACAACAGATGTGGCAAACCTAGGTGTGGCTTGCAGGCACCTATCACCAAGCTGACCTCTGATGACTACACAAAGCCTGTGCCGCTGCCTCTGTGTGGAGAGAATATCCTTTAGGGGCTTCTCCTTAGCCCTGACGCTGCAAACTTTAAATTGTCTCTGGGTTTCCTGTTCAGTGCTAGCAAGTGGCACTTAGGCTACACTAATGTCAGCCTTGTCCGCCTGGGGCTTTTCCAGGCTCTCTCACCAAGACAGGGCTGTGTACAAACACCTCTCTTTAGTGAGGTGGAGGCATGGAAGAAGGCGGGTGTGTGGGTAAGAGCAGGAAGGGAGGAAACAATAAGAAAGGGAAAATGGAAAAGAGAATAGCACCAATGAACGACACTTAGGTGGGGCTGAGGAAAGGGGTATGGGACGAGTTTGCAAACGCAAGGAAACGAAGCGGATCTAGCTAGGGCTGCAGCAGGAGTTAGAGCAGCTGGCAGTGTCTGTGGTTTACCGTGATGGCAGGGTGCACAAGGGCCCTTACCATGACTCCCAGGACTCTGGAAGCAGACTTGCACTTACCCTGGCTACTATGACAGAATGGTGCACTAATTTGCTTGGAGCTTGGGGCCCTAACATTCTCTCAGGTGAATCTTGGGTAGTCTGGGGAGGTCAGAGCTATGTGAGAAGCAGAGGAGAGGAAAGGGCTGACCTCGGGGCTTTCTTCTCTAGGGCCTGTGTGATGTTGTTTCTCTTCTCAGTGTCTGTTCTGATGCTCCGTACACAGCCCAAAGGCAGGGAAAAGGAAGTACTCCTTCCCCTTGGCTGATGCCATCGAGGTCCCAGGGAGTACAGAAAGGTGGTTTGGAGCTACTGTTTCATGAGGGGTTTACAATCCAATGCAAGTTTGTTTGTTTTTTTTCTCAGAAGGTATACAGTTGTTGGGGAGTAGGACCGGGTGGTACCTTGGTGCATAGTGGGTCCTCTGAGAGCAAAGCTGGAGATGCTGAGTTAGCATGTGGGTAGCATGACTAGGAAGCACTGAGCAGCAGAAATCAGGTCTTATTAGAATGTCTGGAGGAGGCTTCACCTTCAGGGTAAGTTAATAAATAGGATTTCAGTCTTCGGAATAGGGCTGGGGAAGCCCCAGGGAATAGTCTAGAAACTTCAGAAAAGACCAGCACTCCAATCTCCCCTGTACATTCTCAGGAGAGCTAATGCTATTTCTGTTACTCCCATCCCACCTATCTACTCCCTAGTCCCCAGGGTGGGGCCTGCTCACTTCTGCCAGCAGGCTTGTAACATTCCAGACTGTTCTGTTTGCTGCACCACTGACCCCTGACCTTCACCTCCTATAAAACAAGCCTATAAATCTTACCCAGCCAAGCTGTGACTTGGTTGGCCTTGTCTACCCACTCAAGGTCTCCTGGTTCCCTGGGTCCTCAGGGTGAACTGCATGGCAATTTGCTCTAACTAGTCCGTTATTTAAGCCTCCCTCGTGCTGGTGGCAGTGGTGGAGGCGGGGCTGTGTGAAATGCCTCTTCCAGGATGGCAGGAGGTGAGCTGATGCCAACCCAATGGCTAATTCCTTTTGTCTTTCGTTGTTCCCAGAGCTGGGTACAGCAAGCTTTAGGACTCTCTCTAGAACATTCCTCCCATCCGTTTGTTGATATAAGGAAGGGTGACCATGCTGAGCAAAGCACTTTCTGATGCTGGGGATACAAAGACCAGGAGGCATTTTCCTGTTGGAAGTTTAGGGACTACAGCGTCTTAGGGGTTTGATCACTTATTATTTTTTAAAATCTATTTTCCTCCTTTTTATTTTTGGCTGATACCAAACCCAAGGGCATGTGCATGCTAGGCAAGTACTGTAACTAACAGTAATATGTATCCTTAATGCCTTGCCTCTTTTTCTAAAAAAGGTAATTGATACATAATGATTTCCCCTTTAGTAAGGAGTTCGCAGTTCTAATGTTTAATTTTCACTACAATTCCATGAGTAGATATTATCTCCATCTTCCAGTAGGTAAACTCATGCCAGAGAGGCCAGCATTGGTGTGTGCTTTACTGTATGGCACTGTGTGGAGAAACTTATTCTGCCCAGAGGCTTTGCCTCCATTTAAGTTAAAATAAATGTTCTTTATCTTGGTGGTTATCAGCACAAGCCTTTATGTGAACATGTGAATACACACACACACACACACACACACACACACATATATATATATATGTATATATATATATATACACATATATATATATATATATCCATCCCATCCTTGACTGCTTTGGACTGTAAGTCCAAGCCAGAGGCATTGACCTGGATTGGCTATATAAGGCAGAAGGCAGAAAAATTAAAGGAAGAATCAATCTACTATGTGTTCATGACCACATGAATCAAGTTGCCTGGGTGTGTCTCCATACTGCCAGACCACAGGACCACATTTGTGAGTTCGAGCCTATCCTGGCACTGACTCTTTAGCCCAGGCTGGCCTTGAACTCACAAAGATCTGCCTGCCTCTGCATCCTGAGTGCTGGGATTAAAGGCATGCGCCACCACCACCTGGCTTATATATATTATCTATGTTTAGATAATGATGTGAAAGTTTCAACCCCACCTCCCCTACCAGTAACAATATAGTGAAATTTATTCTTCACTTTATACCATTTTAACATATACCATTTTCTTCTCTTAACACTGAGCTTTCGAGATAGAATAAGCATCTATAATTAATGTAGGGAAGTATGAGATTGCAGCTCTGAAATCAGAAAGATAAGAATTTTAATCCTACCATCGAATATTCAGTCACATAACTGCCACTGGCTGGCTTATCTGAGCTTGCTGAGCCTCAGTTGCCTTGTATACAATTGGGAAAAATTATCTCTTCCACGCAGGCCTTCCCAGAGGGTTCAAGGAGATTATATGTGTAAAATGTGTAACCTGAGGGCTAAAGTATTCTTGTGAAATTTTAATTTATATTTTCAGGAGCTAATGCACATGGGCACAAACATTTTAGAATGTAGAATGATGAGCTATGAAAAAAGTTCCTTTCCAGTGTCATCTTTTGGCCGCTATTTCTTATCCTTCATGCATTTTGGACCTCAACAAATCCTCATGTGTTGGGCAAAGCATGGTTTACGATTTCTCTTTTTCAGGCATAAAAATAGAAGCCTGAGCAGGGTAAATAGGTCACCAGAAGTCACTCAGACAAACACTGAGGTTAGAACCCACAGTAGAAAGCATGGCCAGAGATGAACCCCACATTGCTGAATCTTGTAGTAGGGCATAGACTTCTTTGACAACCCTTGGAGTGCTGTGGATCATTCCCTGCCCTCACTTTAAACTCTATGTTTTTAAAATCAAAATAATTTATATTATAATTTTACGACATGTTAAAATGTATTTTTTTAAAAAAGTGATGTGTACTTGTGTGTATCTATGTGTAGATATGTACATGTGAGTGTGCAGATGCCTACAAAGGTCAAAAGAAGACATCAAATTTCATGCAGCTGGAGTTATAGGCAGTTATGAGTTGCCGGACATGGGTCCTAGGAACTGAACTCAGGTCCTCTGTAAGAGCAGTATGTACTTTGCCTCTGGGCCATCTCTCTAGCCCTAGATTCTTCCCAACCCCAACCCCCACCCCTGAGACAAGACAGGGTTTCTCCGTAGCTTTGGAGCCTGTCATGGAACTCCCTCTGTACACCAGGCTAGTCCTGAACTCACAGAGATCCACCTGCCTCTGCTTCCTGAGTGCTGGGATTAACGGTGTACACCACCACCTGGCTAAATTCCTTGGTTTTTGTTTGTTTATGTTGTTTTGGTTTTGGTTACATAGATGGTTTTACATTTTATGATGATTTTAGTTGAATCCTCTATCACTAGAAGCTGAAGTTCACACTGTAATGCCTTCTTTGCCTTCATCCCCAGCAGGGCTGTAGGAATGCCTCTGGAGAGCAATAGCACATGTCTAATGAGCTGCCAATCAAGCCTGCTCCCGGAGAAGCCCAGGTTTCTGAATCAGAAGATGTGGGCTCCACACTTAGCCCTTGCTTATCTTATCTCTGTGACTTTGGGTGAGTTCCTCCTTTTCTGTCAGTGTTTGCCTATTAGTGATGGTATTCTTTGCTCCCAGGAACTTGTGAACTAACATTTATGAAGCGTCCTGTTCCAAATTGTGCAGTTATAAACAAATCTATGATATTATCTCTCTCTGCGAAGTCTGGGGAGGCTGAGGAATCCAGAAAGATGTTTATTCATACTTGGAATCTTATTCTGCAGCTCAGAGAGTGTCTTGCTAGCTATGTACCCCTTCCCTGGATTAGGCTTCCAGAATCAAGGTCCCCAGGCTTGGGTATGAGTGCTGACTCATGTACTATTGACTATTCATTCCCCTAGCTGATCTCAGCCCAAAGGGAGCAATAATCCCATTATGAAGACATGTCTCATTAAGACATCTCTAAGATAGAGCCAGCAAACAGCCCTGTAGACTCTAGGTTGTTGCTTGGGAAAACTTCTCCTCCCTTCCCCCAGTCATTAATGGATATGGGAGGTTTTATTCCCCCCAACAAAAGTGTTAATTAGACATTGCTCTGAACAGGGATATTACACAAATGAATTAAACTTAAATCAATCAGCAAGCCAGCTCTGTGCTTCAGGTCCCCCGAACGAGAAGGGAATTGAAGGCTGTAATGGGAAACAGGTGGTGGGATGTCTTCCCTAATGTAGAATGAGAAGGGCGAAGCCTCCCTCTGTTTCCAGCACTATTTTTCAGGCAGATAGCTTTATTCCACTTCTTTGCCTTCTTGCTTCTTTCCCTTTATTCTAATCCCCTTTCCACCATATACGTGCATACACACAAATGCCCTTGGCACTTTGAGAGCTCAGATTCAAGTTCCACAACTGAAGTTGGTCTGGATTTACCACTGGTACTTCCTGGGTACCTTACTGGGCCCAGGGTCGATATGTCAATCAAAAGCTACCAAATGCAGTCACACCCACCGTCATCTTTCCTTGTGAGCCACTAGATTTCTCAACAGAAAATGGAACGGTGCATAGCTTGCAGGTGTGTAGCAGCGAGGGGTACCTGGACAACGAGTGGCTTTTGGAATCTCTGTGAACTTGGGATACTGGTCATCCCTTGTGCACTGAATGCAAAAACAGTGAGTTTTGAAGGAGATGGGCCCCTGTGATGGCTCAGCAGGTAAAATCTTACCGAGCCTGATATCCTGAGTTTCCTCAAAAGTTGGCTTCTAGTCACATGTGCACATGCTTACACACAGGCACAATGAACAAGTAAACAGATAAATGGATGTAAAACAATTAAAAATCTAAATTGAAAAGTCCTATGAATGTGCAAATGGGCCACATGTGTTGGCACATACCTGTAATCCTAACACTGTCTGCTGAGGCAGGAAGATTACATGAGTTCAAGCAAGGCCAGCCTGGGCTACAGATAAGCCAGACTTCCCCAACACACACATTATGAACACATCATATACACCGCATATTTACCACATGTGAACTCCACATATGCCACATACAACATATACCATACGCATATACAAAACACATGAACATAAGATAGGACAAAAATTGAGTATTAGGTATTTGGGGGAATAGGTCTGTTGAGAACAACTGGAACAAGGATTCTTATTGCTCTGGTAAGGGGGGTGAGTTAGGGGCAAGAGATGCAGAGGAACAGTGATGAGTTGGGCCACCAGGATTGTGCCAGGGAAAGGGTATATACCTGTGCCTCCATCTGGCACAGAGTAGAGTCTGAATAAATGCATGAGGCGGTACTTCTTTCCTTTTGGGGTAAAGATTTATTATTTATTTATTTAATTTATAGAAAGATTTTACTTATTTACTCACACACACACAAAGAATTATGTGTGAGTATGTGCGTGTGTGACTGCAGGTGCTGGATTCCAGAAGAGGGTGTTGGATCCCATGGAGCGGAAGCCAGCTCTCTGACGTGGGCACTAGGGACTGAACTGCAGTCCTCTGCAAGAGTAGCAAGTACTTGTGCCCACTGAGTCATCTCTCTAGCCCCTCCTCCTCCTCTCTGAGGGGGGGAGCCTGCAGTTCTGGGCCAGGCAGGAGCCGGCGGTGCTGCTGTGCCCACTCTTCCTTTCCTAGAAGCTCATTTCTGTGGCTCTTCCTTATTACCAGCCCACCAGGAAGCTGCTCAATCCTTCTCTCGAGTGCTGCTACTGCAGCCCTTTCTCCTGTCAGCCCTTCACCACACACCATTGGGTTCATGCTCAGAGACAGATGAACATTTTCATCATTCTTTTGTTTGTTTGTTTTGGTCTTTGGTGTTGGAGATTGAAGCTAGGACCTCGTACATTCTAGCTAAGTATTGTACTGCTGAGCTGAAGTCTCGGCTGCCTCAGTGTCCTATAGACTCACCATTCACACTTTCTACCTTTTAAAAAATTATTTTATTCTATGTGTACGAGTGTTTTACTTGCATGTGTATGTGTGCACGATGTCCTTGCCTGGTGTTCAAGAAGGTCAGAAGAGGGCACTGAAGCCCTGGGACTGGAGTTACAGGCAGCTGTGAGCTGCCATTGTGGGTGCTGGGAACTGAACCCCGGTCCTTGACACTGCATTCCTCATTTTCCAGAAGTTTACAATTGGATGGTAAGCAGCGCCTCCAACAGAAAAGCCATTCTCTTTCACTGTCCGGTGTGATGTGACTGGAAGGGAATGTGTAGCAGTGTAACAGTAGTGTTGATTTTTTCATCACTATAACAAAATGCCTATGACTACAAAACAGGAATTTTGGAGAATCCAGTCCTGTATTGGTTGGCTCTATTCTTTTGGGCCGTGTCGCGAGGCAGTCTGTCCTAGCAGCATCACATAGCAGAGGATGCTCCTCATGTCATGGGAGATGGGAAGCAAATACAGAAGAGGAGAACCCAGACTCCCAGGTGCCCACTCAGTAACCCGACGTTCTCCCAATGCGTCCCATCTCCTAAAGGTGACACCACTTTCTCAACGGTCTTACAAACTAGGAAGCACACTGTCAACACACGGGCCACTGAGTACATTTCCGAGTCAAACTACTGGGAGGAATCAAATGTGGCCTCTGCCTTACGGTCTCTGACCAGCAGTGAGAACTCAGGGAATTCAATGAGTGTCTCTGAGATACAGCTGCCCAGGGCTGAGGTTTCATGGCTCAAAATGAAAATGGATGTGGAAGTGATTTGAGTGCTTAGATGTTCGTCAATGTAAGAAATTATTATCTCTTGCTATTTCTGTTCATTTGGTGTTGAAGAACTGGAGGTCTGTGTGGATGACCTACATCCATGTAGGCAGGTAAAGCAGACATGCTTATGGGTTCGAGACTATCCAGATGTGCTAGAAAACCATACATTTGTTTTCCACCTCACCACATATAAAGGAATTCTTTTTCTTTCATTTAAAACAAAAATCAAAGCAGGCTGGAGAGATGACTCAGTGGTTAAAAGCACTGGATGCTCTTCCAGAGGACCTAGGTTCAATTCCCAGCACCCACATAGAGGCTCACAGCCACCTGTAACTTCAGTTCCAGGGAATCCTATGGCTTCTTCTGGCCTCCATAGGCTTCAGGCACCAATGCAGTGCACCAACGTAAATGCAGGCGAATCACTCACACACTGAAAATGGGAGGGGTATCAAGGCATGCTGGGGAAAAAAACACACTTAAATTACATGGAGTGTGTGCGGGGGGTGTAGTGTGTTTGTGCAATGTATGTGTGAGTGTGTGTAGTGCTTGTATGTGTATGTGTTGTATGTGTGGTATGTGATGTGTATGTGAGTATGTGTATGGAGTTGGTGTGTTGTGGTGTGGTATGTGTGTGTGTGTTTAACTGTGTGTGGTGTGGTATATATGAATATGTGTGTATGTGTGTGGTGGGGGATATGTGAGGGTGTGTATTGTGTGGTGTTTGTGTGTGTGATGTGGTACATGCGAGTGAGTGTGTGTGTGGTGTTGTTTATGTGTGTCCTTTTATTTATTTCTTCTTTTTTTTTTTAATTGCTTTTGCCTTTACCTTCCTTTACTTCCTGGGTTGTGCCTGGTCCTAGACCCTTAGAACTGTAACAGTTAAGTTTTAACAGCTGCTGCCATTGTCACCTGACTAGGCTACTCTTAAGCATCCTCCTAATGGGTCAATTACTTACCATTTGCCAGTATCTGTTTTTCTTTCTGAAGGAACCAGGTAACAGGTCCCTTGGACTTAGCCTGAGGCCCTGTCCTTCAGAGAGAGGGAGGTCCAGATTGTGTGCGCTGCAGGGGTCACTCCTGCACACGCAGCATCACACCAGAGCTTCTCAGACAGTGCTGTCACACCTGCACACACAGTCAGGGCAGCGTTCACACGGTCCTGTCACACCTGCACACACAGTCAGGGCAGGGTTCACACGGTCCTGCCATGCACTGCATTTTTCCTCCACCTGTGGAGGGAAGGGGTTGGGACTGAAATAAGAACCTGCCATACAATGGAAACTGAAGGTTGGGGTGGGGATCGGCAGGGATAAAGGAGAGAATTCAAGGGGAAGAGGATGGAGTTATGAGTTCCTTCTCTGTAACAGGCCTGTGGAATATTCTATTTTCTGTTGAACCGTTTACTTTAATTCACACAGAGGTTTGTTAATAGGTATTAGTGACCCTATTTTCTGGATGAGTAATAAGGTCTAGAGAAATGAGGGTATATCTGAAATGCAAACCCGGGCTTCTGGCTCGGCTCTTAGGCTTTCATATAATATTCATGACGCAGGAGCTAGACCATGTCACTGCTAGATGGACACCGTGTGGCTAGTTCCACTAGTTGGATGTTTGGGTGGCTTGTTTTATTCATTTGTTTGTTTTATTTTTAGATAGGGTTTCACTCTGTAGCTCAGTTTATTTCAGAACTCACTGTGAATCCCAGGCTGGCCTCGAGCTTGAGGTTATCTTCCTGCCTCAGCCTTTCGAACGCTGGGATTACAGGCTTGTACCACCATGTAGCCCTTGTTCATCTCCTAGTAATTGGAGGGATGTGCTCTTGCCCCTTAAAGAGTCATTTAGAAAGCTACAGCATCCTGT